GCTTTTCTTTTATCCTCAAGGCTAGTGCTCTACCACTTGAGCCACAGCTCCACTGCTGGCTTTTTTGAGTAGTTTATTGGAAACAAGAGTCTCACAGACGTTCCTGCTTTAAATGCTGATCCTTAGATCTCAGCCTCCTTGAGTAGCTAGGATTCAGGCATGAGCCACCAGCTTCTCCCAGCTTATGTTTTTTTGGTTTGGGTTTTTTTTTTTTTTAGTTTGGAAGTCACATCCATTAATAATAAAAAAGGGAAGTTAACAGTGTGATGTAGCACCTCCATTATAATCCTTCCCTGACATTTTTCTTTCTCCCTTTCCAAATAACAATTGAGGGTGTTCATTATGCTGTTCTCCATGATATATATGTAATGCGTACACACCAGGACCCTTTCTCCTTCTCTGTTGAGGTTTATGTGTCATATTTTCCTTCAAGGCTCTGCCAAAGGCACTTGAGTTGCAGCCTCTTGAAGTGGAAATGCTTGAGACATCTTCAGTACCTGAAAGGTGCTCTGCCAACTTGAGAGGGCATTTGACCAGCCACTGTGCTCCAAATACTGACTAGCCACAGCACACTTCAATGACAGGAGCTGGGAGTTCTCTCCCAGGACCTGGAGCCTCAGATGCCTGTTGGCCTCTACCAGACATGTTAGTGACCTTCATCTTCTGAAGGGTCCTGGGCCAAGACCTCAGGAGAGACACTTAGCAAGGGGATTCAGAATTGCAGTTGGTGAATGACAGGCACTACCTCATACATTTCATACATCTTGTCAACATCCTCAAGCCTGAAATTTTTATTAGCAACTGAATGTTTTAGTGTTTTCACTTAGTGGGTAAGTTGCTACACCCTTAACATGGAATGGTTTGTGAGCTTATCTTTGGAACAATAAATCAAAGAGGAAACCAAGCAGCTCAAAAAGGAGAAAGATCTGCAAGGCTGACTGGTCTCCATTTATCCGCCTTCATCCACAAGTCCTCATTCCCCTTACTGCCCAGCCTGGCCCAGTCCACAGCTCTCACCTGAGAGCCATTATTAAATGTTCTAGATTGTTCCTTTCTGTTCATCCTACAGACTGGCCAAAAGTTCCAAGGCCTCTAACTTTATTTGGTGCTTTGTGACTTCCCCAGCTGATGACCTCAGGCCATTTGTTTTGTCTGGTCTTTTTTTTTTTTTGAGGGGGGGGCGGTCCGGTCGTGGGGCCTGAATTCTAGGCTTGGGCGCTGCCCCTCAGCTCTTCAGCTCAAGGCTAGCGCTCTACCACTTGAGCCACAGCGCCACTTCCGGCTTTTTTCTTCTTGCTTATGTGGTGCTGAGGAATCAAATCCAGGGCCTCATGCATGTAAGGCAAGCACTCTACCACTGAGCCACCTTCCCAGCCCTTGTCTGGTCTTTTACATAAAGTTTGTTATTAAAACTTTTTTTAAAACAAGGAAAAGGAAAATAGAGCCCTGTGTTCCTATTCTACAGAAGAAGAAACACCGAGAAATTCACATGCTGAAATCCTGAGGTAGAGCTGATGCTGCTAGCCCAGAGGTACTTTCGTAAGAAGTATACAAATTACTCCTTCCACAGGTAAAAAAAAAAAATTATACTTAATGTGTTATTTAATTTCTCAATAAAAGTCATTACAATAAGCACTCAACTTTGTACAAACCATGTAAGTCAAGTCATTCTATATATAGGAGCACTTTAAATTTTGACTACAACAATTAGGAACTCAAAGTCATTAAGATGCGACACTTTGTTATTTAGTTATGTTGCTTTCTACAGAAAGAGATGCAACTGCTGGAAACAGAAAGATGACATATATTGACAGGGACTATGAAGGGACCATGACAAGGGTCTAAGGAAAACCCCTGGTAGCATAGAGTGGTTCAAGGCCTAGAGCCTCAAGGAAATAAATGCTGCAAACCAACCCAATAAGTCTGGAAGCAGATTGTTCACCAGTGGTACCTGCAGAAGAGAACACATCCCTGCCAACTTGGCTGAAACCCTGGGAGAACTTGAGCAGAAAACAAATGCTGCCCAGGTCCAGATTTCTCAGCCAGGGAAACTATGAACAGATAAGTTTATAGTTTTTAAGCCACTAAATATATGACAAGTTAATATGCAGCAACAGAAAACAAATGCAGTATCTAAGATAATCAGATTGTCTCTTGGTCATTTAGGAGCATGTCAGCAACATAGAATGAAATCTTCCTACTTAGCTCCCTCAGAATTATACAAAAGTAAAAGAAGAATTTGGTTGTTGTTTTGTTTTGTTTTGTTTTTTGCTTTTTGCCAGTCCTGGGGCTTGAACTCAGGGCCTGGCCTCTATCCTTGAGCTTCTTTTGCTCAAGGCTAGCACTCTACCACTTGAGCCACATTGCCAGTTCCAGCTTTTTCTGTTTATGTGGTGCTGAGGAATCAAACCCAGGGCTTCATGCATGCTAGGTGAACAGTCTACTGTTGAGCTATCTTCCCAGCCCCAAGAAGAATTTGTTTAAAAAAAAAAACTTTACAGGTATGTTGGCACATACCTGTAATCCCAGCACTCAGAAGACGAAGGCAGGAAGATCCCAAGTTCAAGGGGGAAAAATTGTATACCTTCAGTAAAGTTCAAAGACAAAACAATCTAGTTTCAGTTAAACAGAATAAATAAGTTCAAAGGGTCAATTATTATTAACCATAGTTAATAATGTTGTTAATGGTTAATAGATTTTAAATATTTCACCAAGAAGAAAAAGTGAGGTGATAGATGTGTTAATCAAATTGTTTCATGATCTAGAAATAAGTCAAAATATCACATCATATAACATAAATGTATGTCATTTTTATTTTAAAGAAAGATTTAAAAATAAAATAAAATAATAATTAAAAAAGAAAGATTTAAAATTTACTTGTAGCTGGATGCCAGCTTGTGCCTATATTTAGCAACTCGTGAGGCTAAGATCTAGAGGATCTCAGTTCAAGGCCAACCCTAAACAGAAAATTTTTCTAGACTCCATATCCAAAACAGCCAGCAAAAAATCAGTCTGGCAACAAGGCCAAAGGGGTAGAACACTAACCAAAAAGGCAAGACAAGCAAGTTCAAGAACCTGAATTCAGTATAACCCCAGTATTGGGGGAAGGGAGAAGCCTACACATTTCTAATTTATGAAGCTAATAAAGGGAGAGGAACCAGCAGAGCTGAGACTGGATGACACAACAGTGCAGAGGGAGATGGTGAAGTGGTCAGTGATGTGGGAAAATGTAGCGTAGGAAAGAAACCACCAGTGGCAGAACCTGAAAAACAACAGCAGATACTCATCACCAGAGCTGGGTGACCTCTTAGAGTGTGGGCACAGTTGGAACAGGTCTGAGTATGAACAGGACAGGGCATGGGACATGGTGCAGGTAGACAGAAAAGGTAGGTAATTTCATGTTACATGTATTTTACCATAATTTTTTATATTTTTATTATCCTTAAGTAGTTATACAATGAGTTCCAATTCAATACGGTTGGTTTATAAATATAATGCATCTTGACCAATGTCATCCCTTTCATTAGTCTCTCCCATCTCTCCCAACCTCACCCTCCCCTTCAATTTACCTAGCTCATTTTTTACATATATACATTAAATATTATGACTGCACTTGCCCACTCTTCCTCTTTCTATTGTCTATCCCTACTCCCTTTAACCTGAGGATGAAAGGGGAGAGTTAAGAGTAGATGAGGAGAGGAAAGAGAAAAAAGGAGAAGAGAGGAGAGAAGGGAAGAGAAGAAAGGGGAGGAGAAGAGAGGAGAGGAAAAAAGAGAAAAGGAGAATATTAAGTCAGATAAGGTGATTCATATCTATAAGCCCAGCTACTTGAGTGTAAGAGACAGGTGTTCAAGACAAAGTTTGACAACATTATCAAGAGCCTATCTCAAAAATAAAATTAAAAGAATAGGGAGTATAACTCAAATAGGAGAGTATTTGACTAGCAAGCACAAGGTCCTGGGTTCAATCTCCAGCACACACACACACACACACACACACACACACACACACACACAAATATGAGCTCCTACATTTAGTTCTGTTATATTACAGAAAACACTAAAACAAGAAAAATATTAACAGTAAGAAAACCTGACAGTACAAATCTCATATTTATTCCTTTTATTTATCCTTCCTCTTATTCTCTTCTTTCTTGCACACCAAAATCCCAGAGGAAATGAACCAGTCTTTGTGTGCTTGCAACAAATAGGATGAAGATCCGGGGCAGAGAGAGCTACAGAGAGTCAGGTTCTATGCCCTCTCTCTTCCCTGCATGGTCCAGCCAGGCACAGGTAAGCAGCAGGCACTGGGCAGCTTCTGTGGGCTCAGCTTTGTCCTGGCTCTAGACAAACAGATGGGCCCAGCCCTCAGGCTGCTATGGGGGGGGGAGGGCACAAGGTCCTTGGGATACAGGACCCAATATAGACAATCCACTAGAGTCAGCCTTGAGATCAGACTGGGAGGGATGCAGGGGATGGACAGAATTCTGGAGGAATGGAGAACTGTCTAGGAAAGTCTCCCTAAAAGAGATAATGGAACAATCTGTCCATCTATGCTTCCATTTCTTCCACATCTACAGTGCCTTAAAAAAGGGCTGCATCAGTACAAGTTGATGTGTGGTGGAGATGAAGGCTGGGCACCCTGGCCTGGGTGTTGTGTGGAGGCTGGGAACTGCCAGGGAGACCACAGGAGAAGGCAAACGAGGCAGAGGAGCAGGTGCCAAGGGAAAGAGCAGTGTGACAGGCACGGCCCATCATCTCACCTGGCTGAGCAGGTGGGTACCCAAGGAAAGGAAGTAGATAGATAGTACATTAGGCCCAGACACTGAGGCTGTCGGTGCTCAGGTTGGGGGACAAAGGAAGCTCTCATCAGGGGACAAGATGGTCATCCTAATCAAGCAGAAAGGGAACAAACTGAGGTTGGCCAGGGAACAAGACACACGTTGAATCGGAGTGGGAGATGAGACAGAGATGCAGAGGAAGCTGGGGCTCCCTCCTCCCTCAGTGTTTGAAGTGAGGCCACGTCTTGATGATGTCGTACAAAGCCTTCCCAGGGGAGAGAGTGTTGACAACATCACTGTGGCCCATCAGCAGGTAGCTGGAGGTTAGGTAGCCCTTGTCAACAGCACACCGGATCAGGTCCTGGGCTGCCGCCAGTGCTATAGCATTGGGAGGGGCACCTGCAAAACATAGCCAGCCCACTGGTCATCTTAGGTCTTCCTGAGTTAAATGCACTAAGCCTGGAGTCATAATGACAGTTCTGCGTATGAACGATGCCTTTCTCCACTATAAAAGGTTAGTCTGGTGGGGAAGTTTATCCCCTCCCCCTCCCCCAGGTGACATTTTGCATATATGGTGATATTTTGGGTTACCAGAATTGAGGATACTGTTATCGTTGAGTTAGAAGAAGCTGGAGGCACTGTTAAACATCCTAGAGGCACAACATCCTAGAGCCCCACAACAAATGATTATCTGACCTGCTGTGTCAATAGCATGGGAAGTTAGGAAAACTTGTTTTGGCCACATATATGCTTCATGTATCTTCACATGCCCAGATGCCGTGCTCAGCCCCAACTTGGGTCACCCCTGCCCTCACCCACTCCCCCTGCCCCAGTTCAGGGCCCCTTCCCTTGCCCTATGCCCACTTTAGCATCAGCCTGAACCAGCCTCTGATTCAGCTTCCACTTTTCAAGAGATTCAACAAAGGAAACCTTGAGTGTCAATACACTCTAGTCAAGCGCTCTGAGCCATGAAAATTCTCCATACAGTACATCATTTCAGTGTGTTCATGGCTCATCAGGGCTTTGGCATATAAGGCAGCATGGACTCCTGTTGTTGCCATGATAACCACCTGCTCACCAAGATGAGCTAAAACTATGCACTGGTCTTTTTCGTCCCTTAGGAATTGGAAGACAGTGACATTTAACTTGTGCAAAGGAGGTAAAGTTAGGGTAAGCCTTGTGTGTCAGGATCACCTGTGGTCACATCCGTTCTGCTTTGTTACATGTCACATAAGTTACATCACTTAGTTACATGTTACATGATGCTCCAGCATGATTCAAGTGAAATCTGTGTCCGATGTCTTTGTCGTCCACATCAGTCAGTCTCCCTCCAACAACATAGAATGTCTACCACTACCCAAAGCTTCCACTTACCTGAAAAGGTTCCCATGAAGGTGATGGACAAAGCAATGTCGTTGTAGCCAGCATTGCGAGACCCTTGGGTGTTCCAGCCTACCCCTTCATAAATACTGCCGTCCTGGCCCACAGCGAAGCTAGAGGTCCACAAGAGGAGACGGCGATCAGCATGAAAGTAAGACACTCTAGGATTGCTTCTCACGTGTATCCTCACTTGTCAGACACTATTAAATTCTAAGTTCTGAGTTACAGAGTCAAGAAAAACAGAGTACTGGCCAGTCATGTGCTAGCCTAGAGGTGTGAGGAGACGGATCGCTGGTTTATACCATTTGCAGACTTCTATAGGAGAAGGTCCCTACTATGATGTTTAGACTCCCAATGGTTTCATTTGTTTGGTTGTTTCTTTTTGGTGATACTAAGGTTTGTGTTTGGTAGGCAGAGCTTTGTGTTTGTTTGCAATGCTGTACCCCTAGCCTTTTCAGCTTTAGTTATCTTTCTAATACAGTCTTAAATTTATACCTAAGCTGGTTTGGACCACAATCCTCCCATTTATGCTTCCTACACAGCTGGGATGAAAGGTGTAAACCACTAAATTCCAGCTTATTTACTGATTGAGATGGAGGTCTCACAATTGTTTTGCCCCCAGCTGGCCTCAAACTGCAATCCTCACTATCTCCGCCCCTGGAGAAGCTACAACTATAAATTTGAGCCAAGATACCTGGTTATTAAGTTATTTAGCTTTGTAAAGCAGTACTCTTTACCAGAAAAATATGTCACAGAATTTTGAGACACATTTAGACTATACTTAATAGGGAGGAAAGGAGGGAAAAAAGTTTTCCTTTCTCAGTAAGGTCAAAATCAACACAGTATTTATGAAAGAACCACAGTCCTTGGCACTAAAGAAACTGAAGTACGCCATCTAGGCCCTCCCTCAGATACGAAGACTCTCCCCCATGAAGTTTCACAGCCTCTAGAGGCACACTGATGAGGGAGAACAAGCCACGGGGCTCAAAGCCTGAGCCCTGAGTCCTAAGAGGAAAGGCATGGCCTGAGGAAAAACATGGAAAAGGCATAACCATGAGATGAACTTCTCTTTAGGTCCCCTGCTCCTTCATGCAAATGGATTCCTCTTTTCAGCATCTTTGGCATACATCAAGTCATATACTATGTTTATAGTAGCACAGGCTTAGAGGTGACTATCCTTAACTATCTCCATAAGACCCTCCCAGGTTAGGAAATCAATGTGGTTGTACCTCAATTGCCTGTCAGACCATGAGTCCTCAGCGGTTATGTGCCCCCTTTCCCCTTCTTTTCAGAGGATTAACATCTTCCTCCAAGAGAAAATAAGTCTCCCATCCTCAGGTCTACTTACTTATACCCAATGTCACATGCATTGAGCGTGTCCATGAAGTAGGACTGGAGATCTCGGATCAGCAGGCGACACTCATCATACATGCTGCAGGTTCTCCCACCGGTGTGAAGGATGATGACGTACCTAGCAGGCAGGGTCATACTGAGGCAACTGGCCTTCCTAGCCCCCCAGGCAGACCGTGGGACAATGTTAGGGCAAGCTGTGATGGGAGAAGAAAACATGGAGGGTTTTGCCGGCTCATGTCAACCTCCTGACTACTGAAAGCCAATGTAACCCTCAGGATGTTGAGACATCCCAGCCACCCTGGGGCCCACTGGACCCTGACTGTGGGACTTGGGAGCAAACTGTGATCCAGCTACAATATGTGGGTGCTTTATTCTGAAAGACATCCATGTAATCTGCCAATATGAAGGAAGCATTCATGTTGACAGAAGGCACCAGTCTAAATGCGGAGATCAAATTGACTCAAATTGAATCAAATTTATAACATAGCTATAATAAAGTCTATATCTATAACCATAGACTTTATTACGTCCAAGTAAAGGCTGATCATGCTTATTAACTTTATTGTTTCTGTTTTTATTTGCTTGTCATTATCTTTAGTGGTGCTAGTGGGTTTTAATTCAACAGGTCAGTTTATGAGTCCAATGCGTCTTTGACCAAGGCCACCCCCTCCTATCATTCTTCTCCATCTCTGCCAACCCCACCTGTTACCTAAAGTTACTTCAAGTTTCATTTTTGTATATGTACAATGAATTTTATGCCAGTAGTCACTCACTCTTCTCTCCAATTTGCTTTATTGCTTTTTTTATATTGCTCCTGCTGCTGCTGCTGCTGCTGCTGCTGCTCCTGCTGCTGCTACTAGGGTGTGTGTGTGTGTGTGTGTGTGTGTGTGTGTGTGTGTGTGTGTGTGTGCGCGCGCACGCGCACGTGCACGCACGCGTTTGCGCACAGTACTAGGGCTTAAATTCAGGCCTGGGCACTGTCTCTGAGCTTGTTTTGCTCAAGGCTAGTGCTCTACTACTTGAGCCACAACTCTACTTCAAGCTTTTTTTGGTAATTAAGTGGAGATAAGAATCTCATGGACTTTCCTTCCCAGGCTGGCTTCAAACTGTGGTTCTCAGATCTTAGCATCCTGAGTAGCTAAGATTATAGGCATGAGCTACCAGTGCCAGGTGATATTGCAGTTTTTTTAAACCAAAAATGGCATTAACCTTATTGTCTGAAGTAATTTAGTTTCTTCTTTTAAAGTGAGTGTTAAGTGGTAATTCTGTTTTCCTCAGCACTTAATTCGCAGTGCTATTTGACTTATTGTATTCAGAAATATATGCTTGCTTAAGCATATGAACATTTAAATATATATAAATAGATGAATCTATATAAATAGATATAAATACCTTATGTATAAATATATAAATTTCTTTTTCCTTCCTAGCACTTTTTTTTGGGGGGTCCAGTCATGGGGCCTGAACTCTGGGCCTGGGCGCTGTCCCTCAGCTCTTCAGCTCAAGGTTAGCGCTCTACCACTTGAGCCACAACGCCACTTTCGGCTTTTTTCTTTTTGCTTATGTGGTGCTGAGGAATCGAACCCAGGGCTTCAGGCATGCAAGGCAAGCGCTCTACCACTGAGCTACCTTCCCAGCTCCCTTCCTAGCACTTTTTACCACATAACATACCAAGTATTTTTTCCTATGTATATGTTTTCTTTCTCTAGATTGAAACTCCATGAGCTCAGAGATCTTTGCATCTCATTTCTTAATGTTTCCTCAAGGTCTGATAAGTATAATAAGTGCTCCTTGAATAACTGAAGAAATGAGTGTATATTTATGACACTAGGCATAATGCTAAGGCTCTATCACTCTAAGAATCTGAGCGGTGAAGAGGTGGCCTGGGGAGTCCCTCTCAAGCTTTGTCAGGAGGAATCCTAAGCCCAAGGATGGAAGGGGCCCTGTGAAGGCCAACAATCTCACCTTTCTTCAGATTCTCCTTCTGAGGAGGGGCAAGACAGTTCTCGCCTTTCACAAGAAGTGGCTGGATATACCCAGATGACAAGTAGCCTTTCTGGACAGCATAGGAGATTAGGCCCTTCATGGCTGACAAGGCAGCAGGACTGGGACTGTGTCCTGGAAGAGAGCAATTCATAAGAAATATCAGTCTGAGCAAGATAGCTGGAGGAAGAAGGAAGACCCCTTGTCTTCCTCTGCATAGCTCTTGGAGGCACAACTTATGGCTCATCCTTCAGGTCAAAGAAATGAGAGTCAAGGACCTGCTGCCACAGCAGCCAAGGACTCAAAGCAAAGTCCTTTTCCAATGACCTTCCAAGACTTCACTCATCCCTTTCCTCCACCAAGCTCTCTGAGAGCACACAGCTGCTCAGACCAGTGCCTGCCATCCACAGGGGCCCTTCTAGGCACAGGCCAGGCCCTTTCCCTGCAATAATCCACTCCATCTCAACACTGACCTCTGAGGCAGTTGCTAGTATTCATAAAGAGACACTTGAGGATCTAAAAACTAATACTGCCAAAATCCCAAGCCAACAAATAGCAACAAGTGGTCTTTTATTTGTACTCTATAAATAGGCAGACCTAGTGGTTCATATCTATAATCCCAGCACTGAGGAGGCTGAGACAGGAAGATCATAAGTTCAAGGTTAGCCTGGGCCATATAGCCAACCCTATGTAAAATATATATATATATATATTAATTTATAAATAAATATATTAAATTGATTCATAAATGACTAATACATTTTGTATATAATTTAATAGATTAATATGTTAATTTATAAGTATATAAATTAATCAATTATTAATTGGCAAGCTGAACACAGCTTCCAGCAGGACTGAAACTACCCTGAAGTTGAATAAAGAAGGGCCAGGCTCGTGTTCTGATTCTTCTCCTCACAAGTGTGTCAATTTGGATTCCTTTCTTCTCTGAAACACAGGATACACTCTGTGGGAGTAGGAATCATGAAATCTACCTAGACTGTCTCCATGGGTACTAGGAGGAAAAATGAAGAGCAAGGCATACACAATCTCTGTTAAAAGTAAGGGTATGCACATTGTAAGGACTCATTCTGAAGATCACATATTCCACACACAGATGAAGGGGGCTTGGAGCAACCAATCAGAAAACAGTCTGAGATTAGAGGCTTCAAGGTGTTTATTGGTTTTATGTATAAAAAGTAAAAAGTGAGAGATGAAAGGAAGAGAGCACTGACAGACAGCTGGAAGCACAATTTATGGCTACCATGTTGTCTATGTCAGAGAGAGGGAGACAGGAGAGTGGCTCACACAGAGGTGAGAAATGATGCCCAGATCTTCCCAACTGGAGGGCAGGAGAGCTAGCTTGCAGAGAGAAGATGCTAGGCATCTCTGCCTATGAGGTGGCTGGAGCTGCTGCAGAGACAGAGAAAGGAACCACAGCAGTTACAGAAGGACCGTTACAGCACTATATCATGGAAGTCAGGGAGAAGAAGAGAATCATGAGAAAGTATGGATCATCAGAGAAGACTGAGATGGCAGCAGAATATTGTGATAAGACAGAAAGAAAAAAAACACAACTCTTTGGAGAAAGGTCAGCCAGGTTGACCATTACCTTCCTTAGTGCCAAAGAAAGCAATACCCAGGGAGATGTTGTTGTAGCCTTGGGTGTGCGAGCCTTGGATGTTCCAGCCAACACCTTCATACACCCTGCCATCATCCCCAACCAGAAAGCTGTGCAGCAAGGAAATAGGGGTTAATGACTGGCACTGTCACACATCTCTGAGACAGGAAAACATCCAATCAAAAAGGAGAAGGGTGCCGGGCGCTAGTGGCTCATGCCTGTAATCCTAGCTACTCGGGATGCTGAGATCTGAGGATCGTGGTTCAAAGCCAGCCCACCCAGCAAACTGGAAGTCGCACAGTGGCTCAAGTGGTAGAGCACTAGCCTTGAGCTCAGCGTTCAAGCCCAGAGTTCAAACCCCATGACTGGAAAAAAAAAAAAAGGAGAAAGGCTCTCGCCAAGCTCACTAAAAGATATTTGCATGAATGGAAAGACCAAGTCATTCATTCTAGTCTTTAGCATTTAAAAGGACACAGTTGTATGCACACCACCCCTAACCCTGCTCAGACAACACAGTTGGCTGTAAATCCTTTGTACTTGGAAAGAGACATTCCCAAAATGCTGGCATCTCCTGAGATTCTACATGGCTCCCCTGGCTCCTCTAAAATGCGTGCCACCCCTGCCGTCCCCACGCAGGCTGCTCTTTTGATGTCTCCCGGCCAGCAAACTGTCTTGCATAGCCCTGGTACCTGAGACAAGGCCCTGGCTGCACTTGGGAAATGATCCCAGGAGCCATAGTGAGGGAACAAGGAGAGAGAGTGAGGAAGGAGCGGAAGCCCAACAAAGTGCATAACCCAATCCTCTGGCCTCACAGCGGCTACCTGGAGCTGAGCCCTGGCTGCCACACACACCACATCCATCTGACCAACTGTGGACGTGCACGTTAGAGCTGTCCTTCAAAGGGGTGGGACTGAGGAAGGTACCCACCAACTCCTGTCCTCCGGAGCACATTAACTCCCATTCCCCATCAACCACTGGAGAAAAGCCCAAAGTGAGAAAGCAGACATGTGGTGGGCACTTGAGCCAGGAAGTCATCGCCATGCTCAGGAACTGTCCACCACTGATAGAAGTCACATGTGGGTCTCCTAGACTCGCCATTGGGGCTACAGGTTGGACAACTGCCCCTCCAATGTCAGAACCCATGTACAAGGTGCAGTGGAGAAGAGTCTGCCATGAACCAAGAGGCAACTTGAAGCCGGTTTAGGCTTCACGACTCCACAGCTGGGTGACTTCTAGGAATGAGCACCTTTCCTCCCCCAGGGAAGATAGCAATATCCACTGTACCAAATTCAGAATTTCTGGGGAGCAGAGGCAATCAGATACACAGAAGGAAGTCGCCTGTAATCACAATGTGTAAGCTAAAGCAAATTTGGAGGAGGTAGTAGGGACAGTGGAATTATTTAAGTTCCATGCTTCCTTTTGGAAGATCTTCAAGACCAGAGCCCTCATAGAAAAATTCCAGTGGATTTGAAATTTCGTGTGGGTTTTTTTAAATTTTTATGTATTATAAAGCCTGCAATAACCACAACCTGGAAAATGAGGGAAAACACCAGAAGAAACAGGAGAAGAACCCTAGGAAGACAGCTTTGATCACCTATCCAAGACCCAGGCCCACCTTCAAGATTCTTACTTGTAGGCCACATCACATGCGCTGTTGTTGTGGACATGGTAGGCCTGCAGTTCACGCAGCCTCTGACTACAGACAGCCTGATTATGGCACTCCAATCCAAAGATGTGGTGTGTGACAAGGACATCCACTGGCCTGGTCAGCGGAGAGCTGCAGCCAACATCTTCTGCCCCCCACTCCTTGCGAGAGACCGTGGTGACATCTGGGAGAGGAGGAGAGCCAGGAGACATCACTCAGCACATCCCACCTTGTGCCTGCTCCATTACTGGCTGTCCAAGCTGCTGTGGGCTACCTCTGCCCCCTGGTGGTAGGAGGAGGCCTCCTCAGGTAGACACATGCTGCTCACTTCCACATACACACAGTCTGCACCCCCTGGAGGCCTACAGGCTTTGCTCTTTTGTTCCAGATCATCCTCCACCATAGACAGACCCTGCTGTCCAGCTCCTTCCATTCTTCCCCAGGCCCCATCCCCCAAGGATCTTCTTCATCTCACCCACTCTCCCTGCCTGAGCCCTCATCATGTCATTGTGCACTCATACCTCTGGGTATCTGAGCTCCTCAACCTGGGACTCCATCCAGGTGAGGCTGTGTCTTCTCATCAATCTCTGGATTCCCTGAGCTGAAAGCTTACGTCTCCAACTTCAGGCTACAAAGGCTATTTCTCCCCTTCCTAGGTTTCCTTCCCTTCTAGTGTCTGCCCTATACCCCCAAGTGGCTGGCCAGTGCTTCCCTCTACAAATCAACCCAGATCACCTCACCCCAGTCACGTGTCTGTGCAAACCTAAGGAATATTTATGGCTGCCTCAGAGACCCCACCCAGTCCCCCAATCCTCCTCACCATCAAGACTCAGTTTGCCCTTTTCAATGAGCTGGGAGATGTTACCAAACAGGTACTGCAGCCCCTCTGACAGCTGTTTAGTTTGTGTCTTGTTCCAGGAAGAAACACCTGAAAAAGAATGTTTCACTTTGCATCATTCTTCACCAAGCCCGGTGCCAGGCATCCCAGTGGTACTGGCTCTGGCTAGACACAGCCCCTCCCTCTTTACTACCCTATGTATTCCCAACTCTCCATGCCCCCTCCAAGAAGCTGCTCTAGGCTGACCAGGGGAATCACCTCTCAGCAGATTATATGTCTTTCTCCAAAGCCATTTTAAGTAGTCCCCCAAAATTATAGCTGATAATTAAGGGGAGGTAAAGTTTCAACATAATAGAAACTATGGAGAAGCCATTCGAATTGGCTGTGAGAACTCAGGCCAGTTCCTGGTTGGTCTGGAAGCATCTGTTATGTGAAAGATCATGGGAGGATGATCATGGGTGCTTATTTACATCTTTACCCCCAAGGAACTTTCATTCATGAACAGGTATCAAGCCAAATCAGGTTAGATTCCAAATGACCTAACTGTAATATAACTATAATATTGCTCCCATCTATTTGCTTTTACTGACTATGTGCTAAATCCTTCACATGCATCCTTCGGTTTCATCATCATAGTACATTTAAGAAGCTGGGGACTTTATCTCCATTTTCAAGTGGGAAATTTTAGATTTAAGGAGCTAATTGCTTGCTTAAAACCATTTCCAGAGGCAGGGCAGGGAATCATAGTTTAGGTCAATAGATTCCAAATCTTGAGCTCTAAACCTAAAGCTATTCTTCCATAGCAGAGGAGAGCAAGTACTTAAATTTTTTCTGTTACAAGACATTAGGATACTCTTTGGTCCAGAGAAGGAAAACTTACTCCAGGCTGGAAAAGCCAAAACAGAGAAGACAAAAAGCCAAGGCAGCATCCTTGTGTGGTCCCAAGATACCTAGGGGGAGAATATGGTCACAGCCCTGGTCAGGCAGTGGTTCTGGGAAGAACACTGAGAGTTTGCTCATGCTGCACATGGACTGCCCCTGGACTGCATGGCCCCCTTGCCTGTCTTCACATATAGACTGCAAGCATCCTGAGAGTCAGCACCTGGCTCAGGCTTCTGTGTTTTTCCTCATCGCAGCAAGCACACAGTGTCCTTCACCCATGACATGTTACTCAATGGGTACCTACCGTGTGCCAGGCCTGAATAGACACCTGCACACAGTCTTGCTTAATCTTCACGCTAATTTCACAATGTAGGTTTTTATCCCCATTTCTATAGATGAAGGAAGCAAGATGCAAGAATAATCCAGACAAAATTTCAAATTCACATAAATAGATCGAATACAGAGAGATCCTTCCCTGTTGGGGAAGGGGAGAGGACAGACAGGAGTTGGAGAAAAGGGAGATCTCACTCTAGGAGAGAGGATATCTGATCTTAAGGCTCCATCTGGTGGCTCAAAGTCCTGTTTTTTTCTTTTTTCTTTTTTTATTGTGAAAATATGTACACGGTGGTCACAATTACATAGACAAGGTAATGAGTACACTTTTTTGGGGGGGGTCCGGTCATGAGGCCTGAACTCTGGGCCTGGGCGCTGTCCCTCAGCTCTTCAGCTCAAGGCTAGCGCTCTACCACTTGAGCCACAGCGCCACTTCCGGCTTTTTTCTATTTTCTTATGTGGTGTTGGGAATCGAACCCAGGGCCTCATGCATGCAAGGCAAGCGCTCTACCACTGAGCCACCTTCCCAGCCCCATGAGTACATTTCTTATCAAGCATTGTTGCCTCTTCCTTTGTTTCCCCTTACCATCCCTTCTCATCTTCCCCCCTCCCTTTCACCCCCCTCCCCCCCCCAAAGTTGTAAAGTTTGTTTTTGACATAACGTCTTGTACATTTCATTGTTGCAATGGGTCCACCTGTATCCCTATTTAAACAATTTGTCTTTTCCCTTCCCTTCCCCAAATTATACCAACATCAAATACAGTGAAAACAGGGTAGTTATACCATGGAGGAGGGACATACAAAGCAACAAAGAAATCATCTTATAAATATGTTAGAAACAATAGCAAGAAAGAAAAAACATTGGAGTCCTTATCTTGGGGTTCATTTCACCTAACATCAACTTATCTGACCGTTTCTGCTTGTCCCAGACATATACTAGTAATTGCAAATAAGGGAAACCATGGGACCTATGTTTCTTTGGGCCTGGCTTACTTCACTTAATATAGTTTTTTCCAAGTCTTTCCATTTTCTAACAAATGGGGCAATGTCATTCTTTCTGATGGAGGCATAGAATTCCATTGTGTATACGTACCATATTTTCTTGACCATTCATCTACTGAGGGACATCTGGGTTGGTTTCATATCTTAGCTATGGTAAATAATACTGCAAGAAACATAGTTGTTCATCATATCAACAAGAGCAAGGATAAGAACCACATGGTTATCTCAATATATGCAGAAAAAGCCTTTGACAAGATCCAACACCCCTTTATGATGAAGGTTCTGGAAAAATTAGGAATCCATGGAACATTCCTCAATACAATAAAGGCTGTATATGATAAACCTACAGCCAGCATTATACTTAATGGTAAAAAACTAAAGCCATTTCCTCTTAACTCAGGAATGAGACAAGGATGTCCACTCTCTCCACTTCTCTTCAATTTAGTATTAGAATGCCTAGCTACAGCAATAAGACAAGATGCAAACATAAAAGGGATCCAAATAGGGAAAGCTGAAGTAAAACTCCCCCTCTTTGCAGATGACATAATCTTGTATTTAAAGAATCCCACGGACTTCACTCCCAAATTACTCAAGCTGATTCAAAACTGTGGCAAAGTAGCAGGGTATAAAATTAACCCTCAAAAATCAATGGCTTTTCTGTACGCCAATAATGAGAAAAGCGTGGCTGAAATCAGGAAAGCAACTCCATTCATAATAACCCCACAAAAAATAAAATACCTAGGAATTAACCAAAGAAGTGAAGGCCCTCTATGATGAAAACTTTAAAAACCTGAAAAAGGAAATCAAAACAGAACTTAGAAAGTGGCAAAACCTCCCATGCTCCTGGATTGGAAGGATCAACATCGTGAAAGTGGCAATACTTCCCAAGGGAATCTACAAATTCAATGCGATATCTATCAATATTCCAATCTCATAGAAGATGAAATCCAAAAATTCATATGGAACAATAAAAGACCCCAAATAGGAAAAACAATCCTTAACAGAAAGAACAGTGCTGGAGGAATATCAATACCAAATTTCAAAGTCCTTTCTTTAGGCAGAAGCTTTAGAAGAGGAAACTCACTCACAGAAATACCTGAGGACCTATGTTGTCTCAGTCCAGCGGCTCAGGGTGCCGTCTGCTCGTCCCTCATTGGCTGGCAGTTCCTTCTCTTCAGCCTTGGCCTCCAGATCCTGCCCCTCTTCCGGCCAAGGCCTCTCCTCTCCCTTGCACTTAGGGGGCAATTTCTCCCCAGAATGCAGCACTAGACTCTGGCTTCTTCAAGAGGAGCAGACAGCCTCTGATTCCCGACAGCAGATGGAGATGAGAAGGAAGACAGAGGTGTGTAGCTCGGTCCACAGCTCCGAGAAGAACTCAGCTGAAATCAGACTCAGGCTGAGAGCACCTGGGAACCCGCCCTGTGAATAAGCCTATGGGTTCCTCCTCCCTGGGAAAGCGCACAATTGCCCAATCCTCCCGGAGCTCCTTCCTCATGCCCAGCACTCTGTAAATCCTGCCAACCCCGGGATTGCCATGGGCCCTGAACATGGTGTCACCGACATCAGGGACCTTCCTGCTGAAGGAAGTCTGAAGGCTTCCAGTCTAGGTTACTCACCAATCACCACTCCAGACCCTCCTTCCACCAGGGCCACCAACAGAGGCCTGGTGGGGAACTTAGAAAACTACATCCCCAGGAGGCAGCTAGCTCGCTGAAGCCTATTTCTGACCCTGTAGCCTACACATACATCATCCTCCCTCCCATCAGGCCACACCCTCACCATCAACCTGTCACTCACCAAGGGAAGTCTCCCACAAACCAGCTCCTCACCCAGTTCTGACTAAGAGAGATATTATACCCTTGCCTGACTGGGTTTCAGGGTCAGTACTCCGGTCTCTGGAAGGTGTGAAACTCCAACTGGTATTTTCTAAGAATGTAGCAGAGACCACACGTCCATGGGCCCCCCCCACACTCTAAAATAAACAAAGTAATCTACATATACACTACCATGTGGGGAGGGTACACATTGAGGCAAGAATTAAAGGAAATAACACCATGACACATCTAGGCCTTCTCTCTGTGTGTCCTTCCCCTGGGAGGGAATGTGGCTCTGTATCCTGTCTCATGGCACACACTGGCCATCAGCCAAGCCACCTAGTTAGCCTAGTTGTTGGTGTTTTTTTCTCCTTTGCAAAATGGCTACATATTTGTTCTTCGCGGAGTCATTTTGAGGATTAGATAATAGTCAATGAAAATATAGTATCACCTGTTATGTATAAAAGTGAACTTTACAACACGAAAGGCATTCCTCTACTTTCATTCTGAAGGTACCTAGAAATGAGCCCCTTAAATGTGCACCAAATTCTCCCAGCATTTTCTCCAGTCATGTGCCCAGGCCCGAGCTCGAGCAGCAGCCCTGCCTAGCAAGAGTGAAGGAGATAGTAAGAGAAGGAGATTAAGAACTCCAGTCCATCCAGGTGCTAATGGTTCACACCTATAATCCTAGCTTCTCAAGAGGATGAGATCTGAGAATTGAGGTTCAAAGCCAGCAGAGGGAGGAAAGTCTGAGAAGCTTTTCTCTTGAGAATATAGCCTATATTAACATCTAATGATCCTCCTGCCCCAGTTTCTCATCATGCTCTACTTTGAAACAGTCACATTAAGAAAGTAAGACAAATATGAGACATTTCAGCCCATCCTCCACAGTACTGACTGAGCTTCAGGCCTAAGTAGAGGAAGAATTTGGGGCAGGGGACAAGAGTTATGCATATTAAGCAGTCAATGCGTATTCCAGTTGATTATTATCCCATTTCAAGTTCTACAAGATGACCTAGAAAAGTCCTTATCAGGATTCCCAAGAGACAATGGCTTGTGTTTGGGGGTGATCTCATCAGAGTGATTGACCTGTGAGGCTCCGTTTCTGGGGAGTCTAAGGTGACTGCAGGTTAAAGACAATGACTAGAGACTTTCAGGCGCCTTTTGAAGGCAGATGAACTAGGTTGGGGAGCTCTAGTTTTAAGACAGACACTGCTTGCTGAACATACCTACAGGCAGGGTTAGGCATGAGTCTGGCCCAAAGTTTTAAGGCAAAGAAGACAAATGCAAAACAAAGGCAAGGATACCAGATTTTTCTCTCATTTTTAGTTTCTAAGTACTTGTTACATACCGATAGTTATTTTTAAATATATTAATATATCCATCCCTGCTTCTAACTACTTGTCCGTGAGAGGTGGATTTGAATTTCCATCTTCAACCAAAACATGTTGAGTGCAGAAATAGATATGAAAATACAGCTGTCTTCTTCTGAGCCTTGCAACGAAGTCTGCAAAAAGACACTTGTCTCACTAGCTTCGTAAAATATGTATATATTTTATATTTTTTAAATGTGTAAATCTGTAATGGCTTTGTTAATGCTACTTTAAATGACTTAACCAATATTTTATTTGCTTTCAAATTCCAAGGTATTAGATATTGATAGATATAACACATAAAAGCTCTTTGGGGTTCTCAACAATTTCCCTAAGTTCTCTATACTCTTTTGTCCTGAGGCAAGAGATTTAAAAAGAACTAAAAGTTCAAAATCCAAGACCAAAGAGATGCCTCAGGCTGTCCTGATCCAGGTAGGCCACAAGGTGGCAGCAGATGCTCTTTGATAATCTTAGGATCCACCTTTCATCTGGATTTCCATCAGTCTTTGTCATCATGTCCTTGTCTTCCTTCTCTGCAGTCTCCTCCTATGTTATACAATTTCTTAATAGCAAGAATTAATCTAAACATATATTCTATCAAAAACAAGCCAATCATTCATTCTGTCCTGCAGACACTTATCAGATGCAAAGTTTATCATCATCCAGGGATGAGCAAGTGGAGAAGCTGGCTCTCAAAGGGTTAATAATGCAGTAGGGAAATGAGCACAAAGGCCAATAAGGTTAATACCAGTGCATTGAGAAAACCCTGTATTTTCTACAAAGAAGTATAAACTTCAAGGAGGTTCCTAGGAGGAGGAGTAAGCCCAGAGAAAGATACTTATTAGTACTGGGGGGGGAGGGGGGAGGGGGGAGGGGAGATGAAACTGTGATGGGCACAAAGGAAGGACAACAGGAAGAAAATGGGAGAGAACAGGAAAAACAGAAGCCAGGAACAGAAGAGGGGATGCTTTCTCAATTTGGAAGGAAAAAGTTAAATTAGAAAGATTCTGAGCAGAGGCAGCTGGGGCAAAGTCAACAAAGGTTTCCAGGCCTGGGAAAGCTTTGGGATGAGGGTGTAAGAAGCCAGGTTGGAGCCTGGCGCCGGTGGCTCATGCCTGTAATCCTAGTTACTCAGGAGGCTGAGAGCTGAGGATCATGGTTTAAAGGAGAACTGCCGGGCAGGGTGGCCAGCCAGTGGGGCTTGGTGTGGACAGAGCCCAAACATGGCAGGGCAATGGTCTGGTCACAGGTGGTTGCCAAGCACAAGTGGCTTACACCTGTAATCCTAGCTACTCTGAAGGCTGAGATCTATGGAACCTGGTTTGAAACCAGCCCAGGTAGGAAATTTCATGAGACTCTGATGTCTAATTAGCCAGCAAAAAGCTGGAAGCACAGGTGTGGCTCAGGTGATAGAGTGTCAGCTTTGAATGGAAAAGCCAAGAGAACAGCAGTATCTCCTAATCAAGCCAGGAATGGGCTGCTCAGTGCCCGGATGAGACCCCAACAGGAATCGTTGTCAACATGGGACCGCCCCCCCCCAAAGTGATACTCCTGTCTATTTTTACCCTGTTTCTGGCTCATTGCTACCAACTAAGGCTTTTCTCCCCCTCCTACTTCACTTTCTTCCTGAATGAACACTATATGATTCCAGTCCGTGGCTCTGGAGAAGGCCACAGTGCAAAGGGCAAAGGGCAACAGGCCAGTGTTCATATCACACTCCCCCACTTTTTTCTTCATTCCTGTTTGCCTAATTCATTCATTCATTTAACAACTGGTTATGCAGTAGCCATCACCACGCCAGGCCTTTCCTCGGTGCCCAGCTCCCAAAGTCAGTAGATCTTGCCTCCCTGTTGGGAAGAGCCACAATCAAGAGGAGTAAGCAGCCCTGAGAATCAGGGACTCACTGGCAGACCACTGGGTTCTTTACACAGACTTCGGTACACACCTTGCTTCACTGTTAATGGTTTTATTTCCTTTAAAAATTAATTGAGGGCTGGGAAGGTGGCTTAGTGGTAGAGCGCTTGCCTTGCATGCATGTGGCCCTGGGTTCAATTCCTCAGCACCACATAAGCAGAAAAGGCTGGGAGTGGCGCAGTGGCTCAAGTGGTAGAGCACTAGCCTTGAGCTGAAGAGCTAAGGGACAGGACCCAGGCCCAGAGTTCAGGCCCCATGACCAACAAAAAAAATTAATTGACAAATTTTATAACTAGGAATTCTTATATTCTAGCAATTCTTAAATTCTTATTTTTTTTAAAGTTCCAATTCCCTGAATGTCCTGGAGATCCAGGACCACCTAGGACACATGAGCCTGAGTATGGCCTGTCCCTTCAAACAAAGGATGTTTCGGGGCTGGGAAGGTGGCTCAGTGGTAGAGCGCTTGCCTTGCATGCATGAGGCCCTGGGTTCGATTCCTCAGCACCACATAAGCAAAAAAGAAAAAAGCCGGAAGTGGCGCTGTGGCTCAAGTGGTAGAGCGCTAGCCTTGAGCTGAAGAGCTGAGGGACAGCGCCCAGGCCCAGAGTTCAGGCCCCACGACCGGACCCAAAAAAAAAAACATTGTCTTCCCGACAAAGGAGACATTCAACAGAATGAAGGGACAGCCTACAGAAAGGGAGAAAAGGGGAATGAATTTGAACAAGGTGCATTGTGTGTATGTATGCATGTTCATGTCAAAATGAAGTCCTATGTACAACCAGGATATACTAATAAAGAAGAAAAATTTTAACAATAATTGGAGAAAGTCTTTGCCAGATATACATCTGACAAGAGATTAATATGCAGAATATATTAAAGACTTCCAAAAATTAAGCACCAAAAGATATAATAATCCAATCAATAAATCAGCAAACAAATTGAATAGACACTTGCTTAGTGTTTTTAGCTATCCAGGAAAAGCAAAGCAAAATTACAGCCATCAGAATGGCTATCTAAAGGTTGAAGGTGTTGACAGAGCCACAGCTAATGAGCAAATGCTTCAGGTATGGAGTTCAAGCCCCAGTTTCAAGCAAACAAACAAAAACAATGACTGTCTGGAGGTGACATGGTGGAAACTAGTTTAGCCACTGTGGAAATCAATAGGCAAGTTCCTCAACATTTTAAGACAGAACTTCCATATGATCCAACTATATATCTTGTATCCAACTATTCCCAATTACATTCCAATTATATTCCTTGATATCTACCCAAAAGAATCAAAGTTAGTATATAATAAGCACTACCTTCATGTTCATGTTTATTTCAGCACTCTTCACAGTAACCAAGTTATAATACCAACCTGGGAACCCATCAGCCTATGAATGGATAAAGAAAATGAGGTCTACACATAATGGAGTTTTATTCAACCACAAAAAAGTATGAAATTGTATCAGTTGCAGGAAACTAGTTGATATTGAAGAAAAATAAGCCAGACTCAGAAAAAAACATATTATATTTTCTCTCATATGTGTAATGTAGGGGCGGGGGGGGAAGAATAAAAGTAGAAAGAGAACTATTAGGGATATAGAAGGAGGAAAAGGGAGAAGGAAATGGGAATGAAAAGGAAAAATAAGTTGTATCCATGTTTGAAAGTGTTTTAATTTATACAGTTGCTTTGTAAAATTGGTAGTAACATTTTAAATGAAAAACAGCTGTCTTTTAGGTCAATCTTCTTTTAGGTCAAGTTTCAGCCAATCAGCCATGTGACAGGTCCATCAGTGGGCTTCGAATTCTTCATCCACAGTATAAAGGGGTTGATCACACATCCACAGGGTGAGAGTTGGGATTAGAAGTTTCCTCAGAGGTGATCAACCCTTGGCTAAGCCAAGCCCTCCTAAGAGTCAGGCAAACCCAGAGGGAAATTGAGCCGGTAAACCAATGGAACAGATTGCCCACATATGAGAGACAGAGGGGCTTGGGGCAAAGGTGGGGGGAGCCCCAGGAATTCTTAGCCAGCCTTTAGCTCTCACAGGTGAGGACAGGAGGGAGTGCAAGGCATGGTAGGCTTGTTGACTTGCTCAGAAAGATCATGGGTTGGAGTGGAAGGAAGTTAACCAACCAGCTTCCTCCCAAACTAGTACTGGGCCCAGCAGGGGGAATTTCACACACACACATACACACACAAAAAAAAAGCACTATGTGAACACTTCCTGCCCCTCCTCAGCCCACTCCCTGGCAGAGTTTCCACACTGTGCACCTATGAAGCAATCTTTCCCAGAGAAGACCATGAATCCAGAGACTGCCTATAAAAGCCAGGGCCAATCTGCTCTGTCAAACGCTCTGTGGGCTTCCTTGACTCAGGTGAGTGAGCTGCCAGCTCTCCCGGCAGGAGCCTGCCAGTTCTTTTTCTCATCCTACCCCACTTATTTTCAAACCCTCTGCCTAGAATCCTTTCTTAGTTGATGCTGTTCACTTTATCACTCCCTCCACAGTTTCTTGGAGGCTTGTACCCTTTGACCTTTTAGGTCAAAGTCTCTGGTGAGTATGGACGTTTTGCTTCTTAGCATTCTCTGATGCACTACCAGTCATTTTCCATATGTGGGTGGCAGTCTCCTCGTTAAGTGGCAACTCGTGCCTTATTTTCATTTATTTAGTTAGTTATTTAACTGATTCCTTATTGTTAGCTTTTTTTTCTTTTCTGTTAGTTTTTTGCACAGTTAAGAGTTTGAATTCAGGGTATTATGTTCTCACTCAAATTTTCCACCTTTTTTTTTTTTTTGACAGTCAATTAGTGATAGTCTCCTAGACATTTCTGCCCAGACTGGCCTTGAAACTCAATCCTCAGATCTCAGCTTTTTGAGTAGCTAGGATTACAGGCATGAGCTACCAGCACTGGCTTACTCTCTTTCTTTCCCTGCCCCTTCCCCCCTCCAGTCCTGGGGCTTCAAGTCAGGGCCTGGATGCTGTCCTTGAGCCTCTTTTGCTCAAGCTTAGTACTCTATTACTTAAGCCACAGCACCCCTTCTGGCTTTTCTGTTTATGTGGTGCTGAGGAATCCAACCCAAGGTTTCAGGCATGCTAGGCAAGCACTTTACCACTAACCACATTCCCAACCTGTACTCTCTTTCTATTTTGTGCCTCCTCCCCTTTCTGTCAGTGCCAGAGTCAATCTCAAGAAAGCTGGGCAGTCCATTTCTCTAAGCACCCCAATCTTTGCTTCTCCATTATTCAGATAGTGCAAGAAGATGGCAGACACAAGACCCCAGATGGAAAAACACTTAGAAACCATCGTCGACGTTTTCCACCAGTACTCTAACCGGCAGGGGAACCGAGACACCCTGAACAAGAAGGAATTCAAACAGCTGGTGAAAAAGGAGCTGCAAAACTTCCTCAAGGTAGAGTGGTTAAGGGGCTGTTAAGTGGTTGTGGGCTCAGCAGTCAAGGGGTCAATTCCAGCCCCTTTCACTCAGAGGCACCCAGAGCTGTTACTAGAGGGGGCTAAAAGTTAAATGATACCAACTGTCAAGAGATTGGTCCATTGAACATCTGCTGTGTGTGACATCCTGTTCTGGGCACAGGGACAAGGTGGCAAACAGGGGACCCACGATCCAGTGGGGGCAACGCACAACACAATAATGAATGAAAACAGGTAAATCTAATGTCAGTCAGTAAGTGTCAGATAGAGTCTACACTCTAAGGTGGTCTACACGAAGTGGGGCAGAGCTGACTCACGAGGGTAGACGCAGGGCCCATTTTGAGGAGGTGATATTTGAGTACCTGGTTTCCAGGAAGGCAAGCACCTGAGGATGAACTCTAGCAGGAACATGAGGGCCACTGAGGCTCAGGTGAGAAACCAGAGTCTAGGATCGAAACTAGAGAAATAAAGAGCACGTGGAATGCTCCCAGCACAATGCTGACAATACTCAAATCAATATCCTCCGTGCATTCCCTAGGTTGGAAAATTCTTAAGTAGTTCTTGGCAGGGGGGGTGAGGAGCAGAAAGAAATTTCCTCCAGTAGTCTCTGTGTTTTCTTTTCACCTTTGGGGCATCAAAGGCCTGGATGAAGAAGGCTGGAATGTATGAGTCCAGGTCTCCATTCTAGCCCTAAAACCAGCCATCGGGGAGCAAGTGCCCAGCTCTCCTGGATCTTTTCTCTCATCCTTATAGGGTAGAGAAATGCCACCATGGGCGGTATTAGGGACACTGATGACTCCCTCGCAAGGTGCAGAGTCAGAATAGACAGAGAGAAAGGGGAGAGGAAAGAGTGAGTACAGCTAGGGCTTTAAGTCAGATCTGAATTTGCATCTCTATCTCTACTCCCCTGCTTTTGAGGCTTTTCAACCTGTAAAGTTTACTAACCAATTTATAAGACTCAGTTTCCCCAAGGCTTTACCAAAGAAGAGACTATGTCTGTTTCTTGTTAGAAGGTTGCTACAAGGACCAAATGAGAGGAGATTTCTAGATTTATGGACTATCTGACCTTCTTTTGTAAAATATTCATAGTACTCAAGTTGTACACTGCCTAGGGAATAAATTAGAAAGTGCTTAGCATCTGCTTCATGTCAATTCTCTATCTTTTTAAGGTTTTTCCTTGGGTATTTGCCATCTGCTCATTCTCTGTGCTCCTTAGTCTCCACCTCTGGCCACACCCATCCCTAATGGTCCTCTCTCTTACATCTGCAGAAGGAGAATCGGGATGAAAAAGAAATAAATGAAATCCTGGAGGACCTGGATACTAACCAGGACCAGACGCTGGACTTCAATGAGTTTGCCATCCTGATCGCAAGGCTGATCAACGCCTCCCATGAAGAGATGCACAAGAATGCCCACGGGGAAGGCCACAGCCACGGACCAGGCCTTGGGGGGGGTTGCCAGGGCTCTGGCCGTGGTCAAGCTCAAGGTCCTGGCCATGGACATGGACATAGCCATGGTCATGGCCATGGTCACGGCCACTAATCAATGAGGCAGGCCACTCTGCACCTGTCCAACTAGAGCCATGGGGAATGTCATGTCAGATCACCTTGGCTGTGGGGAGGGAAGATGAAAGAAAATAAAGTCTTTCTCTATACCAGTGCTCTTTGTATGTGTGCTCCCTTCCCAACTTTTTCTCCCCAGAGGTCTAAACACTGGGAAGCCCTGCCCTGGTCTGCCGCAAAATGTCTCCATTTAGTCATCAGAAAATGAGAACAAGGCCAGTTGTAGGTGGCTCACGCCTATATCTTAGGTCCTCAAAAAGCTGAGATCTGATGATAGCAATTCAAAGACAGCCTAAAATCACAGTTCAAAGCCAGCCTAAGTAGGAAAGTCCATGACACTTATATCTCCAATTAACCTCCCCCCCCCAAAAAAAAACAACAACTAGAAGTGGAAATGTGGCTCAAGTAGTAGAGTGCTAGCCCTAAGCAGAAAAGCTAAGAGACAATGCAAAGGCCCAAGTTCAAGCCTCAGTAGCAACACACCCCCCCTACACACACACAGAGAGAGAAGAGAAGAAAATGAGAAGAAGATGTGAATCTGTTCTGAGCCCCTTATATATACCTCTGACTGTTCTCATCTCTAATGTTAGCCTAACTGCTCAGGTTCCAGTCATCCTGTTCAGCAAAGACGAATTATCTCTTCCCTTCAGGGTGCCAGCCACCTTCCTATCCAGCCCAGCCCTTGTTTGCCCATAGCTTTCCACTCTACACTTTCTGTTAACAAAAATCTATTCCATCCTAGCTACTTCAGAAGCTGAGACCTGGAGAACAGAGGTTCTGAAGCCAGCTTGAGCTGGAAAATTCTGTGAGACTCCATCCCTAATTAGCCAGCAAAACAGTGGGTTGAAGGTGTGGTTCAAGTGGTAAAACCCAAGCCATGAGCAAGGAAGCTGAGCAAGAGCATGAGGCCCTGAGTTCAAGTCCTGGTACCAGCACACACACACACACACACACACACACACACACACACACACAATACTATTTATCTGGAAGTCTTTTTGAGATGAATCAAGACAATGCTTAGTATGGGGAGGAATACTGGAACTCAAGCAGTGGGAACAAGAACTTGCAAACTCATTTCTGGATCCAAGAGGGAAGTTGGAGCTCTTATTGGATCCTGGCAGGGAATAAAAGGTGGTTACATGGGAAGTAGGAGTTAGCCCTTTGCCTACTCTAGCCCTGGCAGGATGGTAGAGTGAAAAGAGCACTTGCATGCCCAACAAAAGAAATGAACTCCAAACCATGCTGTGTAATTAAAGTCACCATGTGTCACAGAAGGAGCTTGTGCTCTGAGTCCATTGAGCTTCTAGCAACTGAAGATTCTTACGTTAAGCCTTAAGAGATGATAGAGAATCCTCCAGTTGCTAGTCAACAGCTGAGAGCTCAAGCCAGCAGGGACATTTGTTCCTCTCTGTAAAATCTGTGACCTGGCCTGACTCCATCTTCCCCAGAGTTGCTGTCTTTTGCAGCCTTTGGACCCAAGTGCCTACCTCAGAGAGACTCAAGTGACTCCTCCTTCATCTCCATGATCTCTGACCATAAAGTGCCTATGCAAGCTACAACCATATTAACATTCTCTAAACAGGGGGCTGGGAAGGTGGCTCAGTGGTAGAGCACTTGCCTTGCATGCATGAGGCCCTGGGTTCGATTCCTCAGCACCACATAAACAGAAAAAAAGCCAGAAGTGGCACTGTGGCTCAAATGGTAGAGTGCTAGCCTTGAGCTGAAGAGCTGAGGGACAGAGCCCAAGCCCAGAGTTCAGACCCCACAACCTGACAAAAAATAAAAAAAGATTCTCTAAACACACACACACACATACACCAATCCTTTCAGTAGAGTGAAGATTCATATGTGTGAATTTGTGGCCACTGGAGAAAGACTAACAATTAGTCAATGGTTCACTAAAGTATAGAGCAGAAGAGAAATCAGCCTGAAGGTCACCCCGTAGTAAAGCTGATTGATCCAAGTTGTACAGTGAGACAGGGGGTCTGGAATTCATTTGTTTCATTGCCTGAGCCTCCAGGGTCTTTCCCCAGGGCTAAGCATAAAAGGTAGGAGCTTCCAGAGTCAATGTCAACAATCTCCTTACTGACACTGTGGTTGGGACTCCAGCCTTCCTGACCACACTCTTGTTCAAAAGTCCTCTTCCTAAATCCATCCCTGCCCCAACCACCTCCTCATCCCCTACAGCTCTGCTATGGGAGAGAACAATGAAGGGCCCAGGAACTATCTCCACTTAGTGAGCTTGTGTAACAGAGTCAAGAAGCCCTTGCCAGCACTTCATAAAAGGCTTGACTTGGAGACCTGGAGCAAAGAATATTTACTTATCTGACAACTTTCTTCCCCACACTCACATCTAGGGATGCATCACCATCTTTCTTCCATTATGCACACAGATTCATACAGGGGAAAAAGGAACAGCCAGGATACCTGAGTTCTAATGCTAGCCTTGCCAGGACCCTTGCTCTATTCTGCTTCAGTCAGAGTAGGAGGGTGCTTCTCCCACTTCCTCTGCCACCATTACTCATCATAATGTGCCATAAATATGTCTGTGACTGTATCCCACGCTAGACTGAACCCCACAAGGGTAAATTCCATGCCTCTGTCTTATACTATAGATACTTTATTCCCAGCACCTAAAGTGGGCAATGACACAGTATAGACTCTCAACATATATTGACTACACAAATTACTAAATTTGTCTAAAATTGCTCACATGTCTCATGCACCTTTTTTTTTCAGGAGAAGTTATTGGCAGGGAAAGAGGAAAAAGAATGGGATCAAAAACATGTAATGTAAAAAAAAAAAAACATGTAATGTAAACCTTCTGGGTGATCATCATAGCTTCTCCGGCTTAAAGGTAGGAGTCAGCATGTTTATGGGAATCTGAAGTCCTATTCAAATCTAAACTGGACATTTAGATTCAGAGAAAAAAGATTTGCTGTGGGGAAAAAAAATCTGAAAACTATTGATTCAGTCCAACCTGTCAAAGGCCCACCCTTGAGTGAGTTTCACTAACATCCTTGCGGTGTGATTGAACCAACCTTACCTGCTCCTCCAGAAAGGGATTTCCCTCCTTTGGCAGTGACACTCAAAGTATTAATTACTCTGAGTCAACAGCTGCCTCCTTGTGACTGCCAGGCACTCATGCTATTCACCCTCCTGACCTTTTAGGGATATTCAGTAAATTTAATCCCTTACATGCTTTCTTCCACCCATACATTGATTCATCTACTTTAAAACTCTCTTACTAGGGCTGCGTGTGTGGCTTAAGTGGTAGAGTGCCTATCTAGCAAGTACAAGGCCCTGAATTCAAACCCCTAACTGAGCTTTGTCTGGCTTCTTCACCTCTGTGCCAGAAATACTTTTCTCTATTTTGGTATATCTAATGCTTTTTTGAATGCCCCAGCTCTCAATCAGTTATCTGTCTCCATGAATACATCCCCTCCTGTGGGAACCACATAACTCTCTAACAGGTCCGCCATTCAAAATTCTGAATGGGAAGCACTCATCTGCAAGCCTGACTCTGAACTCCTTGACAGCAGGGCCTATGTTAGCCTGCTCTATACCCCCAGATGCTGGCATGGAAGAAGTTCTCTGTGAACATTGAGATTGAATAAACCAAGGCAGGATTGGCATAGGGCCCAATAGATCTGGAAACAGATTAGATGAGGGAGAATATAGAGCTCCGGTGTTAAGTAGAGCTGAAGATGAGGAAAGTTAGCTTTGAGGGACTTCATTATGCCAGCTGACTTGGAAGCTGGCAAAGGGCAGAGAGGAGAAACCTTTTTAGATATCAAGAGTGCTTCTTCTTGTCTTTGGGACTCCTTGAACGCAGTCTGAGTGTTAAGACATACTCAGACCTAGAACTTGCTAGAATGATATTTGTTGTTAAAAGCCATGGATCCTATGGGATTTTCCTATAACATGGTTTAACAGAGGCAGTTATGATGATTTGGCCCCTTCCTTTCCCCCTTCCATTCAAAAAGAAAAATAGGTTCTGTGGAATAGCGAGTAGGAGTTCTTCCCTCACATAGAAAGTAAGAGAACTACTGCCAACACTAAGATTGCCACCCTACATGAGACTCAAAGTCTGCATCTATGATTAATGATGCCTTCAGGGAAACATAAAGTTTGGGTGTTTTCCCCACCACCACAGTGACTAAAGAACCAGACAGCACCTGTCATCAGATGATTGCTTCCCAGTTCTTATAGAGGAAAACTGTCCTCCTTTTGTGGAGTTAGCAGTGGAACCTGAACTTCTGGCTATCTTTCTTGGAAGGATGAGGAAGACCCAAACAGTAGCCTGAACTGCTGGACTTAGTCCAGACACATAGCATTCGTCCTAACATGCTCCAGGATCTGGGTAGTGTGAAGTGGCTAGAATTTTGGAGAAGAATGAACTCTCTCCATTCACTTGTCTACTTGTTCACCCAAAAGAAATTAACTAGGCTTTTATGGTAGTATGGGTTAAGCCTTGCATAATGCTCCTGAGGACTACTGTGGTAGATAAGGCTCAGTCTTATTTGCCAGGAAATCCAGGTCTGCAGAACAGACAAGAGAACTGCTCCTCAAGTCATTGTAATATGAGAAATGAAAGGCCATGAAAGTACGCAATGAAGTGGGACTTGGGGGTAGGAATACCTCCTTTTGTGAAGCTATCTCCCTGGAAGGATGAGGGTCCAAGTAGCATTGAGGCTGGAAGCTAGAGACATCAGAATTAACAGAAACATGTTTTGAGAGAGGAGAGTACATGTGCAAAGGCCTGGAGGTGTCAGACATGGGCATGAGAGAGAATGAAGAGCGGAGGGGTTTGAAGAGGAGAGATAACACCTATAACAGGACAGATGCCAGGCTAAGAAACTCACCCCTCACAGAGTGAACCACAGACTCCATAAAGGGGCTTTGGGTAGGGAAGGTGATATCTGTGCTTTATGAAAGTCTCTCTTCCTGAAGTTTATGGCCTGAATTTGGGGGACAAGACCACAGACACTCTAGGAGATCATCACAACAGTCCAGGTAAGAGTTAAACAGAGCTTCTGCTGCCACTTTGCAGAAAGTGCAAATTTGGTCAGAATCTCAAACTAGCCCAAGCTCCATCTCAATGAAGCAAAGTACAGCCCACAACCCCATTTGGAACAAATAAAGTATTGTCAATGTTGTGCTGTTTGCCAAGACCTTACTTCACCAGCCCGGTGAGGCAATCTTACACAACCCTAATACAGTTCCTGCTCTGAAGTAAACTCCAGAGCCCAACCCAGGGTCCTACCCCTTCCCAGCAGTTGCTTGAAATCTCTATTTTAGAAAGCCCTGGGTCATGGATTTTGACATCACAATTACCAAGGTGACAAGACTGAAACAGCTGGTTGCTTCAGCCCTATTGCTTGTTTACCTAAACCAATTCCTCTAACCTAAGACCTAAGCCCTACTGCACCCCCTCCCTCACTCTGTCTTCTGAAAATAGACCCAAAAAGATAGATAAATAAACCCCAGAAGGGAGACCATCTTTGTATGTAGATCTTATGGTGAAGGAAAGGAAGTGTTGCCAAGACCTGAGGTAAGAGAGAAAAGGTGCACAGGCAAGCATGCAAGAGTCAGGATTCCAGCCTGAAGCCTGGGGATGTACCACCTCAGTCAATCTGTTCCTTTCTCCCTCCTCTCCCCGTCTCTCTCCCCTTTCCTTCTTGACCTTCTTGCCCTCTCTTTCGCCTTCCAATTTTTCCTCATCCTCTCTGAGAACTTTCTCACTCTCTCTAATTAAGAGGACAGACCTTTGCAAAGTAACTAAAAGCATTATTATCATCATTATTGTTCATCTTTAAATAGTTGTATGAAGGAGTTTCAGTTCAACATGTTCATTTAGGAGTACAATGCATCTTGGTCAATGTCAGGCACTAGGATCATTTCTAACCAGAGAAAATGCCTCCAAAACACAATGCTTGGCTGCCAAGTGTCCTATCAATAATGAAAGAGGAAAATCACCATAGGAGAATACAGTTATATGCTATTTTCTGGTGTTGATTTTGGTTTGTTTTTGGTTTTATGTTGGCCCTAGCAGATCTGAACTCTTGCTTGCTAGGCAAGTGCTCTATCACTTGAGTTATACACTCCCCTCAGTCCATTTTGCTTTAGTTTATTTTTCTGCTGTGATCTCATACTTTTTGCCCTAGGTGGGCCTTGCACCATAATCCTCCCACCCTTCCCACATAATTGGAATTACGCGCAACATCACAGCCAGCCCTTATGCATAACAGGGACAAGGCAATTTGTTCAAATCTAAGAGTATGATTACATGAAGCTGGACAATAGAGGTCAATCACTCTATGGCTTCTTGATGCAATCAGGAGATATAAACAGATGTGTGAGGCTGTTGCCTTAGGTGAAACACAGCATGTTGCTTTTCAGTAAATGCTTTTGTAAGTAGGAAAAATATGCTCTGAAAAATGATAAAGGTAGCAGGATGCTGGCGGCTCATACTTACAATACTGGCTACTCATGAGGCTGAGATCTAACAAATCCAGGAGTCTCCAAATAAAATCCAATTAACCAGTAAAAATATGGAAGTAAAGATATGGATCAAGATAAGAGTGCTAGCCTTGAGCAAAAAAAGCCAAATGAGAGCACAAAGTCTTGAGTCCCAGCTCCAGTACCAGCACCCATCCACATATACAAAAAAAATAGCACCAAGAAGAAAAACACAAAACCTCCTGGTTTCCCCAGGGGGTCTATGTTTTCAGATATCATCTAACAAACCCAGGCAGTACTCATCAGCCCAGAGACGCTAACAATCTAGCCATCATCTGCTGAGAGGAAGACAGCCTTAACTCCTCTTACTCCGTGTGATCTCCTGGATCTCCGGGCTGAGAGCTGCTATTCACAGCCTGAGTCCAAAAGCTAATTGCGAGAGGGGCCCTAAATTCAAGCTCCAGTATCGGCACAAAAGAATAATTAATTAATAATTAAAGATAAAAAAGTACATAAAATGATCACTTAGTCATGTATTATCAAAAATTTTTACTGACATAGTTATATGTGCTATGCTTCTATAGAACTGGCAGTGTGACGTTCACACTACCAACACTGCAAACACAGCTGTCATGCCTTGTGTGGACATTACTGAGCAATAGGGAATTTATTCAGCTGCATGATAATTTTATGGATCACTGTCATACATACTGACTCACATCAGCCAAACATCATTATGATTATAGAAGGGTTTGGGGTGTTGAGTCTGGTAGAAGCAGAAAGGATTGCATTTTAACATGAACTTTGGAGTAGCACAAATATCTAAAGCATAGCAAACACCTCCCTCTGAGCTGGCGCTAGTGGACAAAGCATAGTACTCGTCTCTCTAGTCCCTTCTCCTTTGTTCTTCTCAACTCCTTCTCACTCTTTCCCCCCTTCGAGAGAATCAGAGAAATTGAACTTTACTATCCCATGTTCATGGACATGTAAATTCTGAAGCATTTTCCTCCTTTCCAAGTATGACCCAAAATACCATGACCAGATATCCCCTCTTTGAGGAATTTTAAATGGCTTCTCCTTTCTCCCAAGCAAGGCCACCCTCCTTTTCTCCCACAGGCTCCCACGTGTCCTGTGCTTTACTTCTGTCAAAAGCACACATCCCATTGCATGGAAATTTCTGTTGACTCAGGTTTTCTCCAACCAGACCCAAGCATCTTACAACAAGGACTTAAGTCTTGTGTCCTCCAATATCCAGCACAAGATGGCGGGGGGGGGGGGTTTCGAGTAATCTTTTATTTCTCACTTCCCACCTCTTAAATGTCTTCAGCATCTGACCACCCCTAATGCCTAGCCTTACTTTATGTCTCCAGTGCCCAGAGGCTGCACCATTCAATACAGTAACTGTGAGCTGCATATGGCTTTTTGAACCCTTGAAATGTAGCCATAGCTATGAGATTGATGTATCACAAGTATAAAATATGTACTAGAACTCAAAGGCTTAAGACAAAACGAAGCGAATGTAAAGAAACTCCATAATATTTATATTGTTGAAGCAATCGCATTTATGTCATCTGTAGATACACACGCATACCTAACTCTCCATTTCAGTGACTGTACTTCATGCACACCAGTTATACACTGGCTTTTTTGGGGGGGGGGGTCTGGTCTTGGGGCCTGAACTTTGGGCCTGGGCGCTGTCCCTCAGCTCTTCAGCTCAAGGCTAGCACTCTACCACTTGAGCCACAGCACCACTTCCGGCTTTTTTTTCTTTTTGCTTATGTGGTGCTGAGGAATCGAACCCAGGGCCTCAGGCATGCAAGGCAAGCACTCTACCACTGAGCCACCTTCCCATCCCCTACACTGGTTTTTGTGCTGTCCTTTAAACCAGCCAATCATGACCCCATCTCAAGGTCTTGGTGTATCTCCCAGAAACCACCAGACAATCTGCAAGCTGCTCTTCTTCATTTCTTTCTGATTCCTGCTCAAATGCATACAATGACCACCCCAACATCCAAGCCAACAGCCCACTCCTTCCCCTTTCACCCTAACCCAACTTCTCCACTTTAGTTTTCTTTTCTTCACTTATCATTACCTACCAGTATAGCATATGCTGCATTCTTACATATGTATGCATTTGTTTGTTTCCCAATAGAATGCATACTTTGGAGAGGAAAATTACTTAGTAGGGTCACTGGTCTTTGGCTATCATAGGTGTTCATCGAACATGTGCAGGTTGAATAAATGGGTGAATCAACAATGGACTTTGCATAAATATCTGGTGAACAAATGGAGCAGGGGCTATAAAGGGGTCTAACTGAGACAGTTGGCAGGGATAAGGCACCAGGAATCAGGAGACCACGGTTCAGAGAATGAAAATGTGCAGACACCATTCACAATTTTTCTCAAGTACATTTATTCACACTCTACTGCCCTGGGCAAGGCAGGGCTTTGATGAGAAGAAGTAAATGCCTTCTTGGGGACCTTGCTGGTGAAAAGGCCCTCAGAGAGTTTTCTATTCCTTGTGGATGTTTTCATGGGCAGTCTCCAACACAGAGGCCAACAGGAATAAGAATTCCCTAAAGCTGACCTCCCCGTCACCATTATCATCCAGCTCCTTGAATATTCTGTCAATTGTAGCTTGATCTTTGGTGTTCTAAGAGAAAGAAAAAGCAGAAACCCTTGAGCTCAAAACCTCCATTAAGACTCTTTTCCCCACGGCTCTCAGACCTCTCATCCCTCAGGGTTCGGGGTAGGCAGGCCGAGAAACATTAAGATATTAAACGGCACAAGACAAAAAAAAAAGAAGAAGAAGAGGTTGTACATGTCATGAACCGTCCTGGAGTCACACAAGGCTTGACCTAGAACATGCTCTAAAGTTCACCTCACCCACCACTCCCTTTACTTATGAGGAAACAGATCCCAGGAGAAAAATAAGCAAAGCCAAGGGGTTGGAGAGTTCCTGAGAGGGGGCAGGTGAGGCCCTACTCCACCACAGGGAGAGAATATCCTTGGGAGTTCAAACTAGAGCAATATCCACCCCAACTCATGTTCCACCATCCTCCTCCAGGATCTGCCATTCCTTCCGCAAGGGAGAGCAGCAATGGTGATGAAAAGAATATCACCTACCTTGATGGTGTTTGCAAGCTCCCTTATAATCAGCTTCTTCAGCTCACTCTTGGTGAGGGTGTCAGGATGATCCGTCCGAATTGAGTACTGGTGGAAGATATTGATGATGCCCTCCAAGTGGTCTTCCAGTGTAGGCATCTTTGCAACTTCACGTTAACCTCTTAGAAGACAATGGAGATCTCGTAGCAATTCCTCCCCTACCCCATTCAATGTCTACTCTTCCCTCTTTCTGCCTCTAGGACTCAAAGCATGAAGTCCTCCAGATTTACTCTGTTTAACCCATGGTGAAATTTTTAAGTAGATAGAATAGGGAAGAAAAGTTTATGTGACCATGTCTAAAGCCTGAAGAAAAAAAAAATATTCTTCCAATTAGCCATGGTGCCCCCTACCACCTCATCCACCAGGCAGGATCATTTGGAAGTTATTGCTCACTCAAACTCATCTAGGAAGGGTTTTGGGTTGGCCAGGCTATTCACTTTTTTGGCTTCATGTCCCCTAAAGACCATTACAACTCCACTCCTACTAAGAGCTTGAATTGAACCCAAACTATAGTGTTAGCCCAGAAGTGCCCAGGTAAAAATAGAGATCTGTGGTTTCCAACACTGTGATTGCCACATGGCCACCAACAACCACAAGCCTATGGACCACTGAAGGACCCAGTCAAGGAAAGGGTACTTACCACTCAGTGCTCAAGTGTGGAGCTTTAGCTAGAAATCGGCACTCGTGTTAGACCCCAGGCAAGGAGGCTTTTATAAGACAGTCCAGGCTTCAGCTTCAACCTTGCGTGAAGAAATCTCCCTATGATTCATCTTGAGATGGTTGTCTGACATGACACAGTTATGCAAGAGCAGATTTGACCTGTGGCTTTGACTGTAACAGGAGCCACTCAGATTTCACTCATCCTGAAGCAAAACCCGACACCACCCACCCATCCACACTGAAATGCCCTGCACATTTCTGGCACTGACAGGACATCTATCTTGCTGATGGAGAAATTGCATTCAAAAGTTAAGTAACTAAGTGTCAAATCCAACATTGTCTGCCTTTAAAATCTTTTCCACTACAATCCCCCCCCAAATGTCAATAGACATCTTTAAAAATCCTGTTTATCCATCTTGTTTTAGAAATAAGATTTTTGGTAGTTGTAAAATATTTTGTATCTGTTCCTGATGAGTTTTTCCCCCAGTCTTTGTCAATTCCCAATTGACCTTTTTAAAAATGTATGTCCTCAGATTTTCTTTTTATTTTTTAGCATATACATTTTTAAATTTTATTTTATTGTAAAGATGCTGTACAGAGGAATTAGTTACATCATGAGTAAGGTACCTTTCTCATTGAACATTGTTACCCACTCCATTGTTGTTCTCTCCCATCTTTTCCTTCCCCCTACTTCTCCCCCCCCCACCACCACAAAATTGTAAAGTTCATTTCCGACATAGTGTCCTGTGAGTATCTTTGTTGTAATCGGTCATCTTTTGTACTTCTTTCAGCATTGTGTTATTTGCCTTCCCCCAATCATATAAATGCATCTACAAGATAGAGGGTACTACAATCAGAGACAGAGATTGTCAGGGATAAACCAATGGAAAAAAGAAAAATGAAATAAAATAAGAAGGAAGAACTAAATACAGTACATTGTCAACATCAAGGTTGACAACTAAAAAAAAAAAAAACCTGTTGTTTCCGTGTTTTAGAGTTCATTTTGTGTGGTCATATGTTCATAGATCTTGAGCTAGTATGATTCTCTGTCAGGACTAACTTAGGTTTATACTAATTATTACAAATGAAGGAAACCATAGAGCCTATGTTGGGGACAGCCCATACCCCCAAAATCACTGTATGAAAAACACCAGGTTAAGCTCAGGAATGCAGGAACAACAACTAAGAAGAAAAGATGGCTGTCCTTCCAGAACTTACAACCAAATGAGTTCAGATACCTTTCTAAGCCATAACACAAAAAGTTTACCCAGTGAAAGAGAGGAAGTGCCAAGGACTGTCGGGATGACAAGCTTATAGCTTGTCCATGCTAGGCTGGGACCCAGGTTCACTCAGCCCATGAGCTGGGACCAAGACTGCTTGCCAGCCCAGTGTGGAGCCCCATGAGGGCTCTTTGGACCAGCTCTGAGCCCTTGGACATCCTTGACCTCTGTGAGCCTATATCTTCATCTGTGAGGTTATTGCCTCAGCCTCATTTGTTCCTGGAGTTGAGCATAGCAAGAAAGTCCTGGAAGCAGACTACTATGATTTTTTGCACGTTTCTTCTACTGCCTTTCACCCAGACCCATAGTGTGACATTCAGCCCAGCCAGCACAGACTTGAGCACCTATGCCCAGCCCAGACCCAACTTTTAAGGGGCCTGACCACCAGGTACCAGGAGTTACCTAAAATCTGAAAGTAGATCTATAGCTCAAAGTGGTAGAGCATTAGCCTTGAGAACAAAAGTTCAAGGACAGCCCCCAGACCCTGAGTTAAAGCTCCATAACTGACAAAAAAAAAAGAGGCTAGTATGTATCAGCTTACTATCATTATAATGAATTATCTCAGAAAATTAACTTATAAAAGAGAAAGCATTGGCTTTTCTCACAGTTTTAAAGATTTTGACACATGGTCGATTGGCCCTATTGCTTTGGGCCTGTGGTGCTCATGGTGACAGTATGTGGCAGAAGGAAACTATTTTCACATCAGGAACCAGGGAACAAAGAGAGAGAGAGAAAGGGGATAAAGTCCAAAGCCCACCCCCCCACCCCCACTGAGACACATCTCCAGTGACCTAAGGACCTCTCCCTAGGCTCCACCTCTCCAAGGTTTCACTACATCCCACAAAAGCAGCAGCCTGGGGACCTAGCATCCAACATGTGAACTGCTGGGGAAGATTCCAGACCCAAGCTACAATAGGTGGATGGACACAGGTATGCCAGAAAAGCAGAGGCAATGCTGTTCGTTGTTTTAGGGGTAGGTTAGCATGTCCTCAGTTCCAACAAATAGGATATCCCCTTAATTGTTTATGTCGATGGAGGTAATGAGGCCAAGGAAGCAAGGAGTATTCTCCCTAAGTTGTTCCAGGATGCAAAGCTGGAGCAGAACATTTTCAGAACAGACCCTAAAGTTTCCAGAAAAGAAGATAAACCAATAACTCCATGACTTCCTTCTGGTTTATCCATTACACTCCCTAAATTTGGAGTAGGGTAACCACTACCTGTGAAGTAGGTTCACTTCCTACTGGTTACTTTACCATTTGCAGGAATCCAATAAGGCAGGACACATGCACACAAAGAAATTTTATTACTCACAATTTGGCAACCATGAGCAGCAGAAGCCTAGGATTCATGGTAAAGCAGTTCAAGATTCAAGAAAACCACCAGGCATCAGTGGCTCATGCCTGCAGTCTTACCTACTCAGGAGGCTGAGATCTGAGGGTCACCGTTTGAATCCAGCTGAGGCAGGAAAGTCCATGAGATTCTTACCTCCAGCACCACCAAAAGGCCAGAAGCAGACTTATGGCTCAAGTTGTAGAGCACCAGCCTTGAGCAGAAAAGGCTAAGGAACAGTACCCAGGCCTTGAGTTTAATCTCCAATACTGGCAACAACAAAAAAAGACTCAGGAAAACCACCTGTGGTATATAGAGTGTCATCTCTCTGCAGTCTCCATGTTGCACTGAGCTGACTTTAAAAATAATCTATCCTGGGTTTTATATACCAAAGGCAACTAGGATCACTGAAGCAGCCAAGACTATTAGGGAGATTTGTTTCTTCTACTGCATCTCTGTAGGTACTGCATCTTTTACCGTATCTCATTTAGCAATGCTAATTCATTTCATATACTCTCAAGCCTCCCTGAATCTGGTACCCAAGGCCTGGCTCCATATGACACCTGAACTGATACAATCAGAATGCAATATTGTTGACCCACAGCAGAATACATCCTAGTAGACCATAAAGACCTTAAAACAAGTAGGAGGAGCCTCCTGGATTCCAGCAGAAGTTGCTAAAGAGTCAAACGATCCTTCAGATAAACCCACTGTTTGCGACCAATAGGGGAAAACTTATCTGTTTCTACTGTGTCTTTAGAATAGCTGAGATGTTTCTGGTGCAGCCAGAAGTGTTACCAAGGACTCAATGTCATCCTCTTCCTCTGAGAGGCCCGTGCATTCCAGTAGTAAGTTCCTATAGCCAAAGTCACAGAGATTCAAGTACCTATAATTCCATTGGGTGAGCAGGCTATAAGAAAAGATCTCAATGGCAGTGCCTGGGCTGAAATTCATCTACTTGCTTCCACAACTGGCTGCTAAAATGACCTCATATAAGGTTAGCAAATTTTTTAGTCACCTTGACTAAAAGGCCCAAAAGAACAGATTGGGTACAGGTGGCCTTCAATACCCAAAGAGCTTAATCTTGGGCCTCCACTTTATAAAAGGTGCCATTGGGGCCAAAAATGTTCTCTTGACTATATCTGAGATTCTTCTTTGACATCCCATCTAAGTGGCCCATAGGAATTGCACCTGTTGTCCTGGGCCCTGGACTTCTTCAAGGTCAGTACTTTATCAGCCATTGCTCAATATGTCAATGACTTAGCACAGTTCCTCCTCCACTTGCATGTTGTGGATGACCAAATCTTGTCATGGAGACTTGGGCTTGTGTTATTGTTGTTCAAAGATAGGGTTGTACAGTTACTGGGACTTGAACTCAGGCTCTCACACACACACTTGCCTGTTTCACTCAAGGCTGGTGCTCTACCACTTGAGGTATACCTCCATTCCTGGCTAGTTAATTGGAAATAAGCATCTCTTGGATTTGTCTTCCCAAGCTGGCTTCAAATCTCAATCTTCAGATCTTAGCCTCCTGAGTAGCTAAAATTATAGGCATGAGCCACCAGCACCTGGCAGACTTGGATTCATTGAAAGCCAAACTCCACCCTCTGATAGTATACTCTATGTGGGAGTTGAGGCGTTCCTCACAGGTGCCCAGTGAAGACATACCATGGAAAGATCTACAATGAATGCAAACCCTCCCGATCCTCAACCCTCAAAGGGATTGAGAAAAAGGCATTCACCAAGACAATAACCTCCAGAATGGGTTGCCACTGCTTGGCAATAATGACAATGTCTTTCGCCACAGACACCGAGGGAAGAACCATGGTATTCAGCTTGTGACCATCTCTGTGTCTCAGATGCCTGTTACCTTGAGAACAGGGTTTTTTATAACATTCATGTCTGCACCAAGTCCTGAATTATCAAAGTAGTGTCCTGCTCTCCACTTCTCTTGTTTGAATAACCAGATGTGGCTGGGATAGTTTAGGCATGTGGCAGGCAAGAGTGCATATGCCCTACTGCTGTGGCTCCAATTCTTAGCTGTGAGCAGCTCAGCCCCTCAGGCAGCAGGGATGTTCTTTGCAGCCAAGGTGTCAATACCTGTAATGCATTCAGCAGTGAGAACCACAGGCCAGCGTCCAAAAACGCTCTGTTGCACCTGTCACTACCATGGGTCAGAATTCACTCCCACCTCCCAATGGCATAGGTTTAATTCTTCACCTAATGGGACCTACAGATTGTCATATGTAGGTCCCAGATACCATGAATCCAAGAAAAGTCTGGGTCTCCTCTTTTTACCTTTCATCTTGATAGGAAGATAGAGCCACTGGCCTCCTGGGAACTTCATTTTTCAATCTGTACCATTTATCCTGAGACACTTGTGTTTTCAATGTCTCTTTATCAAGCAGACATACCAACAAGTCAGTAGGAGACAACCCAGGCTTTTGTCCATATCTGTGATCATTTGAGTACACCA